TATATATATATATATATATATATATATGTACAGTATAACCAATGTAATCCTCGTAAAATAAATAAATAAATAAATGTACTTTAAGTTACATTCTCATTAAATGATCCATCATCTTTGTATTTGTACAAAATTTAAAATTCTATTTAACACTAAATAGCATATCGAATTAATATTAAATAACAATTAATATAATAATTAAATGCAATAATTTTTGATATTTCAACAGTTGATTTTATTTTACATTAAAATTTTACATGATACAATAAGATATATAAAAAGAATTTACTTGTTTTATTCAAGCAATCTCTAAGCCTGACTTATTATTATGTAATTTAAAGGATTGTAATTTAAAAGTATTATTTATTCATGCTGTATAATTTATTACTAGATATAATGAGAAGATATATGTGTATATGTAATACATTTTTATAATATATGAAACATGTATATAGTATTATAAAATTATTACATTGCTATTACATAAAACGTATATGTGATATATATTTGTGGTACATATGTATAATAAATATGTTTATTTATAATTTTAATTTCAAAATAACATTCAAAACAGTGATCTTCTTCTCGAAATCATTTCACTATTCGTCAAATGAAACAACATTTGATTTTATTTTTTTACTTCTTTTGTCTCTACAATTTTTCTCTGATTTTTAATCAGAAGACTCGTATCGAGTTTTGCCTTTGCAACTGACGTTTCGATCCGATCGAGTATTAAATAAAGAAATTAATTGTCGTCTCACGTGAGACCAACGCGATAATTATAATATCACCATCGATACCGTTCAACGACGCTTAATGCACGAAATAAATTCGTAATTTCGATTCGAATTACCGATACCCAGGTTTCACTCGATATCTCGAGCCTAATACCAACAAGCACGAAAACATAATTACGCGGCGCAATTAGCATCACGCGAAATGGCAACTGTCAGCTTTTAGTTGAATTTCAGAACGAGCAGCTGGTAGGAAATTGATAAAGATAACTAACTATAAGCTCTGATTGATATAAAAATTGATGTGGATCATTTATTTATTTATTCTTGAGGGTTCTCTCGTTTGGAGAAATTTTTTGATCGTACAAAAAAAAATTCAACTTGCTTTGCTAAATGAGACTAATTTTAGTAGTCTCATTTTATACTTTTTTGGTATATTTTTATGTTTCAATCACTCTCGTTTCGATAAATAAAGTAAAATTGTGTATTATTATCATGTTAATAATTATTATATATACAGTTCGTGAAATAAATTAGTGTTTTGAAGGAATTCTTTTCTTCAAGAAAAAATAGGAATAAGAAATTATTCTTCTAATTATATTATTGCATATTATGAATTGCTGTTATTGTGTTATTATTTCTATAATTATCATAATTCACGAAATAAATTACTGCGAGTTTCAAGTCAAATTTTTTTTTTTTTTTTTTTTGCATTGTATACGAAGGGAAAAGTTTCTTAATGCGTTCTAACAACGACTTTATGGTTTTATGATTGTGGATGTCTATATTACCTACTGTTTATATTTCGAGCAATGTTAACAGTTACTTTTATTTAACATTTGATTAATTGATATGATAAATCAAATGAAACCTAATATGAAAATTACGTAAAATAGACATACACGTGTCCAGAATCATAAAGTCGCTGTTAGAACGCACGTGTCCGCAGTGTTAAACGATTAAGAAACTCTTTCAAAAGAAAGTTTTACCTTCGTGACGAGTAGAATACAATCCAAGAAAGAAAAATTTGTTAACCTTGAAATTCAAGGTCAAGGTCACTTTTGCAATCTATTTCCATCGAATTCAAATCGAAAGTGTAGAATTCATCTGTAATAACCACGGACAAACTTTCCTTTCCACAAATTATATAAATAATTTAATAAATTCAGGCATAATATTCTGAGATTTCGCATGGGGCTCTAAATATTATTTTTTTTACCAATTTCCCCTCAATAGAAAAAATTACCGAATTAATTATTACTTGTTCACACTCGTGAGAACCATGCTATTAATCAATTATCGGTGTCTGTTTCAACAGTTGGCCGACGTTTGGCAAACAACTGCGGCTGCAAATTCATCGAAACTTCGTCAGGGCTTGCCCACCACGTGGACGAGCTGCTGGTCGGCATATTAGCGCAGATTAAGCTGAATCCACAACGTGATCGTGACCAAGCAACCAGACGGAAGAGGAACAAGTATCGCAGGAGGATCTTGAAACACCTGTTGGGCTTCAAGAGGAAAACCAAGAGCTGCGAGGACTTGTTCGTTCTCTAACGATGTTTCTCCCTGGAAACTCGAAACAACCACTTAAAAAATACCTAAAACGTTCGATTCGTTTTCTTTTCCTTTTTTGGTTTTTTCTTTTTTCACGCGTACGTGAGAGTCTTTCAGAAAAATTTCGAGATCAAGTTTTTGGGGGCACGTAGTCGCCGTCAAAAGAAATTAAAAATGTTTCGTGAACGTAAGTTGCGTAAATTAATATATATATATATTTTTTTTTTTTTGGAGTCGGAAGATATTTTCAACTATAAATTGCTGGATATTATTATAGCTTTTTGTATGATTCTGAATGATTTTTGTTATTGATTCTGTGTTATTAAATGGTACTAATAATGCAATGCAATTTGGTAATTACACAATGATTTTGATAGCTTGTAATTTATATTTGATGTATTATATTATATGTATGACAATATGATTTGATAATTTATTATATTAATTTACTGATACAATAATTATTAATTTGTCATAAATGCAATATAATATAATTATATTATGTACGATAATATTCTGTATATTTTTCAATCTCTATATTCCACAGTTCCAAATTTCGATTCGTGTATTTTTATAACTCTACCATTTTAATCCCAAAATTTTCCCGACTCAGCACTTCGCGTATTTTTATCTAAAAATAATGTAAATTCTCTTCGTTTTCCCCGGAAAACAAAATCAAAATGTGAAAAATTTCGTTCGACCAACCATCGTATCACTTTTTCGTTTCACTGACAATAAACGCTGACTTCGCCGATTTATCGAAACTTCACTGACAATAAATATTGCTCCTCGTCATTCGTTTATTTCACCGTCACGTGCTCCCAAAGGTTTCTTGGACGCCCTTTAATATAACAGTAAAAGAAAAAAAGAAAAAAGAAAGAAAGAAAGAAGAAAAGAAAAACCTGAAAGGCAAACACGTGAATTAGCTGTGAACGAGCGTACAATTTCGAGAGAAATATACATAAATTATGAAACACACTGTGTATCGAAAACAAGAGAGACAGACCGAGGAGGAAATATAATATTTTTCTTAGAGTCACAACGAGACGAGGCTTGGCTTTTGCACATCCTCCAATCCTCCCTCGTTCAGTCCGCGCGCTGATTCTGATCGACTCTGAATAAAATCGAGGTCGACTCGTGTGCTTTCGGATTGAACGGGGCGCGGAAAATATCCTCGAACGTCGAGAGAAAACGAAATCGAAAGATACGTGCGACATTTCTCGATTTTGAATTTACGTGGGTGTACGAGTTCAAACACTGGAACATAAACGATGTGAAAGTGTCGTCGCACGACCTCGAGAGAAACAGCATGAGAGCTCGTATGTAATACGAAGATACACATCTAGTCGAGGAGATTTTCTGCGATTTTCTCTTCGAATTTCGACACGTTCAAGGTGAACCTTTAGCTTTTTAGATAAGCCTCGCATGCGAAACAGTATTATAAAACGTAATTCGAGGATTAAAAAAAATTAAGCTTCGGTCGAAGGGTGTGTATTTGTGCATGTATAATACTCTGCGTAACATTTAACGTGAATTCGTTTTTCTTTTTTTTTTTTTTTTTTTTAGAAAATTAACGTGACAAGTCATTTCTTTTCTTTTTTTTTTATTGTTTTAATAACGTCGAGAATTAATTCTAAACAAATTCGAGGGTAGAATAAATTATTCGTCGGACGAGTAATTTTAGTTTTGTCATGTCTTTTTACGAGGAACATTGAAAAAGATAGATAGAATAATTTGAGGAAAAAAAAATAAAAAGATGAGTTTACTGAAGAAACGAGATCTTCGAAATTATTGGAACAAGTAGAAAAACATATGAAGCTACGGATTTCAAAATAGGACAAGTCGATAAATATTCAAATATTTTGTAATCGCGAGTGACATCAAAATCAAAAAATAATTAACAAATTAAACTCATACTTGTCACGTTCTTTTTCACGTAGCGATTAAAGAATTTTTTCTTATGTTTAACGCGTTCATAATATTTATTCACATGTAATTTATAATGATTTCCTTCGTCCGATTAAGAACATAATTTAATGGAAGCGCGGGAGGGAAATAAAAATCGTAGAGAAAATCTAATATTGTTTAAAAATGAATTATAATTATTATAAGTGTAAACTGAAAACGAATAATATACATATCTTTCAGAAACATCGAATTTCTCATTATTTAACAATAATTCTCACATCTAATTCTTTTAACTGATGAATTATTCTCGTGTATTTAATTTATTAATTTTGCTGCTGTTCTGTAACGTTATTAAAAATATCAATAATTCTCTTTATTTAATTAAAATATAAATATTCTCTAATATTTAATTTGAAAATCCAATATAAAATCTAAATTTTATTCTTCACGCGTTTTTTTACAACAGACAATCCATAGAATCCAATGTAATATATAAATTTTAAATTATTTATTATATATAATTATAAATTATTTTCCGTATATTTTCCTGAAATGAAATATTCCAATAGAGAATTATTATTTGATGTTTAATTTCAAAGTCTGATATAATATACAAATTTCATTGTTCTTTACATGTTTTTATAAAAAAATAATAATTTTTTAATATTTATAATGTTTTTATTAAAAAATAAATAATTTTTTAATATTTAATTTCAAAATCCAATATACAGTATACAAATTTTATTATTTCTGACATAAGTTTCATAAACGAAATATTCCAGAATTTAGATGAAGAAGATATCTGAAAATGTGAAAAAGTTGCGAGAGAAATATTAAATCAATTTCAATAATTCTTATTTTTATTCTATTTTCGATGCACCGAAAATTTATCGTTTGAAACGTATTCGTACTCGCACAATGGTCCACGAATTTTTTTCTTCGCAATTCACGAGTAGATTTTTTTATACACTAAGCCATTTTTTAATACATTGGTTAAACAATGAATAAGTAATTAATTATTTTTCGTAATTTTATGTTATTTATTGGATATTTTAAAAAACAAAATTGCACACGATATGTATAAATATGCAGAAAAAGAAAAAGTCCAAAATATCCAAATATATTTTATAATATATGAAATATCCATTTTTCTGTAATATTTCTGTAATTTTCAGCATGTGAAATAATTTTTATAACATGCGAGATTCTATTATTTTTTTTTTTTTTTCATTCGACAGCTGAAGGTAATATTTTTTGCAAATTTAAATCTTTAAAATTTTTTTCGTTCTTTTATCCTATTCCACGTTAACAACAAATCGTCATTATTACATGTTATTTTGTCATTATAAATTTATTTACTTAAATTAAACTTATATAGCTGAAGATGCTTTTTAAAAACTTTTCAAAGGAAAAATCATTTTTATTGATTCTGAACAAATCATTTATTTCAGGCTATCGCTGTGCGCCGAGAATAATTGAAAAAAAAAAAAAAAAGGAAAAGCTGGATGGAATCTCTACGAAGAATATAAACCTTTGATTGAAAAAATTGAAAAAAAAAAAAGAAAGATTTAAATCGAATGGATAGAAAGCTGTAGGTGTCTTTCGAAATTGAAATCGCATATGCACGCCGAGGTATAAACTTGGGATTTCAATCTGAATAGGATTTTTCTCTGAAAATATGTAAAGCAAAGAATCAAGATAGTTGGTACAGCAAATATACACATAACCCTGTTTTATATTTTCCTTAAATAAATTTGACTTTCTATTTTTCTTGAATAGATTTTTTTGACTATTTATTTCTAATTATTTTTGGAAACTTTTGATCGTTTGATTTATTTTTTACTATTTTTTTTTTCAGATTTCTGATTGATTTATTTTCCTGTTTAATTTTCTCGAGGGACAAGGTAAATAAGTTTGGCACACAAGTAATAAGAAATTGAAATTATTTGTGTATTTCATCATTAATTTAATTTCTGTTTAAATTCTAAAGTTTAATTCCTAAATTCTGAAATTTCTAATTTCAATTGAATTGCGACTTTAATTCTAGAATTCCCAATTCAATTCTAATTTAATATTTTTCAGACTCCTAAAATTCAGTTTCTACATTTCCAAAATTCCAAATTTTAATTCCTACACTTCTAGAAATTCTCAATTTTAATTTCCATACTTTGAAATAAATTTGAACTTTAATTTCTTACATTCGATAGTTCTAAGTTTTTCAACGTTTCAATGATTCCAAATTTTTCTCTCTACACTCTACACACTAATTTCAGCTTTCATATTCTACGCACGTATGTAACTTTGTTAACATTTCTTCGCCTACATCGATATATCCATCCTCTTCGTTTCGGAGAGAGAACATTTTAAATGAAAATTGAAGTTCCGTTTTGTGAAAAAAAAAAAAAAAAAGAAAGAAAAAATGTTCACTCTACCCTACGAAACTGTTAATCCATCTTTCAACTTTTCCCAATAAAACATTTTTCTTCTATTTTTTTTTTCTTTTTTTCGTTTCGCGGTAACTATGTTTAAAAGTTTGAAAACAATTTAAATATGCAGACACCAAGCTTCCAATTTTCTCGAACGAATTGAAAAATGTTTCCCCTGTCTACGCGACAAATCGGATAAATATACTTAATGCACTTAAATCGCATTTATTTGCATTTCTCGAAACGCATGAAAATATTTCATGCAGACGATATTATTTATTCGTATTCACGTCACTTCGTATTTCGTAGATACTCTTTCAGAAATAACGTCGTACGCAAAGAAGGGAAATATGTATTCAAATCTGCCCTAATTTCACTTCCACCAGACATACACTTTTGTATTTTACTTCATAGTAAATAAATTTTTACATCAAGTGAAACTTTTATAGTCAATATCAAACAGTTCATTCGCAGATTGACAGATATTAATTACTGTTACATGTAATTTCACTTTTAATTTAATATTTAATATTTTAATCCTCACTTGATATTCGTATTAATATTTCAATTTAATTTAAATCACAGTCTGATTATAATTCGAGCAATTTATTGTTATCACAAATCCATGGTAATTTATTATTTCCATTGAAAAAGTGAAATTTCTTATGACACTGAAACTGAGAATATCACACCATAAATAATGATACATTCAAAATTTGAAATTTCACTATAATTGAAGATATTTAATTCTATATTCTCATTTCAAAATTGAATAATTTAACTACAAATTCTTACTGACCCAATGATCGATAATAAATTTAGATCAACTAAGAATTAAATTACTTAGATAATTGAATAATACATATATTTGAAAAACGAGCAAATAAATGGATGATTCGTGAATGATTTCATGCTATTGTTTATAAAGAAAGGTTTGATGTATCGCATAATATATTTTGCATGAAAGAATTTATATTTTGCATGGAATAGAATCGAACGTCGAAAATATGTGACCGAGTTATTTATTATTACACTTACTAACATATTACCTGATTATAAAAGTCAAATTTTGAAAATTCTTGAAAATTCTCCTTCAGTATATTTTTTTTTTTTTTATTGTACTGATACTGATAAGTCTTTAAAAGACACACACCAACGAATGATGAATATCACTTGACTCAAAATATCAATCTTTATATATTCTACAATTTTAAATTTGAATTTTTACATTCTATAATTCTAGATTTAGTTTCTAAACTCTTAGATAACTCCTGTAAATTTTAGTTCCTAGATTTTTTACAATTTCAATCTTTAAAAAAAAATACATACCAATGAAAGGTGAACAAAAACAAACAAAATAAAAAATTAATTAATTAATATGAAAGACACTTGAGTGAAGATCAAATGTATAACCTTATAAATAATAATCTGATTTAATATAATTTCATTTTTAAATTATTCTTAATAAACAAATAATATAAAAATATTATACACTATCATGTATTAATATTTTTAATTATGTTATTAATGAAACTTACTTTATTATTCATTTTGAAATAAATAAAAGAATTCTTCTTGCTTAAAATGAACGTTTTTAAACACTCGAACTTCTTCGTGTGATACATGCATTATTTTATTTGTTGTATTAAATTGTATATCAAAATTTAAAATATATCACACACGAGTTAAATGATTGTTTCACAATTTTTCCCACTTTTTTTCAATTTGAAACTCGTACAAAATTGTTCCACTGTCACCTAGTAAATTCAAATAAATTAATATAATATTACTTGTGCAATTGAGATTTAAAATATATATTAAATGAAAGATAATCGGATTAAAATATTAATCAATTTTTAAGTTAAAACTGAAGTTACCTTCGTATACATTTAACAGGCTCTTCAATATTATTTTTTCTTCACGTTGAAACACAAAACTTTGTCAGGATTAACAGTACGAAACTAAAAAATAAAATTTCGAAACTAATAAATAAAACATTGTTTACAATCATTATTAATAATTTATTAGTAATATTTATCAATCATTATTTATCGTATTTATTTTACGGTTTATGATGTTTAAAAGTAATAAAACTATGTTTTACCTCTTTTGCCATTTTTCAATTCCCTTAAAAAATTAAAAATTAAAAATTGAAAAATTCTCTGTAGCACTTAATAATCAAAACAAGTAAAGATTAATGCAAATTCATATTTTTTAATTTTTCGTTGGTACGATCATCGAAGATCATAATTAAATTCTCAAATAACTCATAACAACGGATCGTTTGCAAATGATTTATCTGATCCAAGATCCACAGTTTTCCCAAGTTATTTTTTTTTCAAATAAAAATAACAAATTAATGAAAAATTATTTCCCATTTCAAATTTCCTATCTTTATAAAATTTGCTGAATCCATGTTATATCGTCCACAAATTCAAGTAAAGATCAATTCACGAACATCAGTCTGTTTACTGACAATGAGATGTCAAGCTAACAGCTCACTTGGATATGAAGGCAATGGAGAAGGTGGACAACGAGGTCTCGATAGAGGTGGAGTGCACATCGGTGGTGGAAAGCAAGCAGGACCAGGAACTATAGGTATTTTGCAACAAAGAGGTGATGGTGAACAACGGGGAGGCAATGGCGCACAACACGGAGGAGATGGTGGACAAGGTCGTGATTGTGGACGACGAGGGGTTGGTGGACAACGAGGAGGCGGACAACAGGGCCTTTGGGGAGGAATAACAGGACACAATTCCTCGATTCTCGGTGGTAGTACAACAGAACACGTGGGTGGAGGTAATACACTAGGACACTTGCTGTAAGAGCCATTTAGAAAAATGTACCATAATCTCAGTTCCTTAGGGATTTTTCTATTCTAAACTCAATTCAATAAAGCTGCTATTAAAATTCATTTTAACAGAAATTCATATAATATATAAATTTTCCTATATTTTACACAATAGGAATTTATTTTATTGTTTTCATATTTATGTATTATGTTTATATGTTATATGATTATTTATATTGTTTTGTATAAAAATTGATTTAATGGAATATTTCTTTTTCTTTCAATTATTATTTATATATTCTTATGCAACTCATTGTTAATATTACACAAATAAGTATTAAGTATTTTCTAAAATATAATAATACAAGAATGAATGAAATAACAAATAATGCAAGAAACGAGGATATAAAAATACAATAAAATTTGTAAACTTTTATTCTCAACATATCCCATAAGTTAAGTTAAACATTCAAATAAAATTTCAAAAAAGTACAGATTACCTTCAGAAGT